GATACCTAGCACACTTACTCATTTTCATCATAATCTATACATGGATTTTAATTTTTTATCATGCTACCTTCATTGCTTCGGTATGACATAATACAATACAAGTAATGATGCTTACATATTCCGTCCAGGTCAACCTGAGCACTGCAATAGTCCCTGGTTTTTGGGTATCCTGCCCCTTTGATGACGACTTCGCACCAAGAGCGTCCAGGCTTCCCGGATACAATTTAATTACATTCATTTACCTTGGCAAGAAAGACCCTTAGCTCCTGGTTTGTCCAGTTATGAGAGTGGAGTTCTTCAGCTAAGTTGTCGACCTTCACTGTACCAGGAGGTGCTGGAAAACGGCGTTATGGACAATGCCTTGTCATTTCACTGGCTGCTGGCGGTCTGTTGAATTCCATCTGAACTTATTATCCTATGTGAAGATTTTGGTATACTGGATCTTCCATGTACATTTGGTCGCTTCAGGCTTCCAACTAGCGTGGGTGTTCTTTAACCGTTTGTGGGCCTCTGCAATTTTTGAGTAGATAGCTTACGTGGTCCACACACCACTTAGTACGCCCTATTTGTATTGGTGACACGATAACTCTTTGGAAATATTTGCCTCATGCAATGCGTGCGTACCTGTCTACGCTCACAAGGCTTTTGTTTGTGTCTTTCCGCATAGTAAAGCGAGTTTTTGCTTACAACAAGTATCCGCTTCGTCGATATGGTAATTTCATCACTTTTACTTACCAGACTATCTTAATACCAGACTGTTTACCACCAAACATTACAGCTATCCAGAGCTATGAATGCGCATCTCATCAGCCACGAGTTACACGTGCGCTACATTTTATGCAGTAAACTGCTAGAAAAGCGTCTCGTCACCAACCATCAGCGGACGGCTCCGGCTCCGAGTGCCGCCACCGTCCGGCTGTGGGCGGCGCCGACCGCCGGCGCCGTGCTCACCTGCGCGACCGGACATGGTCGGTGCGGAGCTGACCTGACCTGGACACGCGTGGGTCCGTGCCGCCCCACCCGCCGCCGAGCCACCTCTGCCACGGACAGGGCCGGGAGGCGGCTGCCGCCCTGCTGGGCACCCCGCTCCTCGCAGCCGGTCCCGTGGCTGGCCTTGGCTGCCGCATCGGTGGGCGGGCGTCGCTATCGGGGCTTCACGCTCCAGCGCGGGGGCTTCCACCCACATCGCGCTGGCGCGGGATGCGGCCGACCGCGCGGTCGACGGCTCGGCCAGGCCGCGTCAGCGCCGCGCCAGGGGTGGTGGGGCGCGCGCGAGCACGCACGCGTGCGTCCCCTCTGGTCAGATGATCAAGGCTAACTTATCGTGAATTGGCAGACTCCAAGCGGAACACGGAGCGAGCTCGGTGAAAACCATCGTGCGGATTTCCGGACGACTTCCTCCGTATGCCCGGGCTCGTGAGCATTGCTTGAACCTTCCTCAAGAATCACGACTTAATTTCGATAAACAATGTGTGGTTCAAACACACACAAAAGTCTCCGTTTTGACATCCCCATATGCATGTCTGACGGTTTTTGTTTTGTTTATTTGTTTGTTGTCGTTTTTTATCTGCATAGTGTCATAGAGGCTCCAACACGTAATCGGTAACAGGCACGGTAATCAACACAGGTGTGTTTCGTGTCCAACTGTTAAAGCTGCGGGAGGGGCGGGGTGGGGGTGGGGTGGGGGGTGTCACACGTTGGACACAGCAGGCACAAAATGCCCGGCTGGTGCGCATTACGTGGGATGCCACGCACTACTTAATGAGGATGAAAAAACTTAACCCGGCTTAATTTGCCGGATGACGATAGCGCACGAACATATTTTCACACGAACATGTTGTCACACTAGTACACATGTAAGCAATAGACTGTAGTCGATCAAACGTCTAGCCCGTGTTTCCTTCACTTTGCGGGGCAAACAAAGGGTGTACAGTGCCTCGACGAACTGCGTGGTGTATGTCCCCCGGTAGCGTAGTCCCACGACAAAACAGGTGACTGATCTCGGGGCTGGTATTTTCGGATGACGGATCCAGTACGAGTCGCATGGTTATGTTCGCTTTTATAAAGGTTCTTTGAGAGTATTGGGGGCAAGCCCCAGTGTTGGGCTGTCCCCTCCCTCTACCACGCCTATATTTGCCTAAATCTAAGCTACAAGGAGCTAAGTTAAGCTACAAGGAACGGGGCTCCCTATCCCCATCAAAGCCTTCAAGTAAAGATAAGCTAATATTTTGTGGGGACTCGCGATTTGGTAAGAGAGAAAAAATAATAATGACACAGTACACAATAACTTACGTAAAACGCACCCAAAAGAGTTCAATGTTGTAAGTCGCTAACCTCACAATAAATGACTGTGCGTCATTGGGGCTTTCCGACGACTATATGAGGTCATTCGCCGACGCTTGCCTGTAATCCTGGCCGAAAGGGCGGTCACCGCGGGGAACCAAACCCCACAGTGAATGGTTACACGCAAAAGCAATAACTTGCACACATAGCCTAACTCGTAATGCCACTCGAGTGACACGACCCGAGCACACATAGCCTAAGTCGTAATGCCACTCGAGTGACTTGGCATGGCGCAAATATTGAAATGTTGGTAGTAGCGGTAGAAAGCGGCAAAACTATTACATGCAGCCCCCGCCTCCCAGTTGACACAATGCGGAGGGTTCCTCGTTCACTACCGCGACCTTTGACTGGCACAGCTCAGTATCTCATTGTGAGTAAAGACGGTTGCATCATCATTGATCACGTCTTCCGGCACTGCCAGGAGGGCTATGCTCAACGCAAGAGGCATTTTGATATTCGAGGTCCCGCTCCTGTCCATGTTCAGTAAATGCGCTCCTGGCCGACTTTAGGCTTATTGTCAACACGGGACCCATTGTTGGACAATGTGAGCCACTGATCGGCACAGGCGTGACCAATGCACGATCTTGCGGATTGACAGTTGCAGGCCCGGTCCTGCCCGACTTAGGAAACAGGCCCCAGGGCCAACCAAGACCGGTGCGGGACCGAGAGCTCGGTCCTACTGGCTGAGATCCCTCCACCTCCGGCCTGCCTTTCGAACCATCTGATCTGACCCTTGATCATCGTTTCCCCGCGGCCCAAAGGAATCCTTGGGACCCGCTGTACCTAAAATCCTAAGGTAGGTCACGTGCTGCTGTCCCATCGATAGTGGTGCCTTTGGTTCCACGTGAAATTAAAAAAATGGGCAATATTTGCTGCCCTCTAGAGTTTGACGCCACTTGACATTGAAGGGTTGAGAGGCTTTCGTGGGGCCTCCCTATAAGTGGGTGCCTCTTAAAAAGGTAGGTCGCGATGGCCGAGATAAAGGCATCGAGTATTTCTTCCCCGAGAGGTCTGACTTAGGATTCCATCAGGTGGAAGGCACAAAAGTTGTGTTGCCACTGATTTTGCGCCCCTTGAAAATAAAGATGCTGGGGTCCTTTAAATGACCCATTTTGATATGGCACCTTTAAAAATAAAGGCTATGGTGCCTTAAAAAACGTTTTGGTAACCCAGTGTCGAATAGGTCGATCCCGTATTTCGCCAATAGGGAAGTATAAACATTTAGGTACTCTTGAAATTTGCTGCCTTTTGAAGACGTACGTTTTGGGACCCATTGTGCTGCCCCCTGAAATTGGGCACCAGCTTCAATAATGTTTATGGTACTGCACAATTAAGGTTTTGTGATGCCTGTTTTGCGGATGGGGTCGACCCAGAATTTGGTCAGGATGGAAAGCATAGAAGTCGTGGTTCCCTTTACAATGAAGGGTTCGGGACCCATTCGAAAGCCCACTTGAACTTGCTGCCTAAAGTAAATACATGTTTTGGCGCTGTGAAACGAACGTTTTGATGTCGCTTCACTGAATGGGCCGAGTCATGATATCGTCAATGGAGCGTCACGGGTTTCTTAATTTTCCTCGAGATCTGTTGTCTATAAAAAATGATGGTTTGGGGCCCTTTCAGATGCCCCCTAGCGTTACTTGTTTCTGAAAGATACAGGTTATGACTCCCAAAAATGAAAATAAATCAAATTGGTGCCACCCCGCCGAATATCAAGGAACGGGCCGAGCAGGAACTTCGTGGAAGCAAAACGCAACTCCTTCAAAACTCCTCTTGCAAATATAAGCCGTGGTGCCTCGAAATAAAGGTTTTGGTGCACCTCGCCCAGGGAAGTGTTCGAGAATTTGATTCGTGGTGAGAGGCACGATATTGTTGTGTCTCCTGAGAATGAAGGTTTGCGGTCTTTCTGGTGCTTTCTAAAGCGGAGCGGGAAAAATTCGAGAAGATATGTGTCTCGGAAATAGAATGGACAAGGTTCATGGGGTTTTCTCTGGAAGCCTGGCTACCATGACGTTCTAATGGTTAAACACATCACTGCCTTAAATGGACACCAGGGACGTACTGCATAGAGCAAGTATCCAAGTTCTCAGTGATTGCGTAATGCCTAGGGCACTTTGGATACTATTCTGATTATTATTCTGTTTTTTATATAAATTTATTACTATTCTGATTATTATACTATTCTGATTATATATTCTAAAGTTCAGCATTGCTTGACCTTATCTGACCCGTAGGTCGTGACCTAAGAACCTAAAAAATTTGACGCCAGTGTGTTTGCATACGGGCCAACACGCTCTTTAAATTTGGTGTATATGGCTCACTCATTTTATGAGGTCTCAGCGAGCCGAGTTGAACCTCTGCACCTGAGCGAAGCGCGTTAAATCGGCCACCGGGTGCGTGTTAACGCTCCGCATTTGTGTTAAGTGGGGATGCTATGGCATCCTCGGGCACCCTGATACTGAAACTTTGAATATGCAGCTTAAAACAATCTTCGTGGATAAAACGAGAAAGAGTTTTGAATTTGAATTCGGTGGGGCCTCGGCAAAGAAGGAAAGCTATATATGGAAGTAAGCTATTGCGACATATTTGGCGCTTTAGTGATGTTTCAAATTTACGTACGTGCCAATTCCAGTGCTCTATAACAGCTGACCGGTGTTTGTTACAAGTGTCGACTAATAGGTGGTATTCATCGCCGCAGGCTGTCACGGAAACACTCCCACTGTTCGTGATTTTCTCATTGCGTGTTGACTTGTTGAGTCACTGAACAATGGCCAAGAAGAAGAAGAAAGGTATTTCATTTTTATTGGGTCGTTTCTGCTCGTTATGACACGTGATAAGTCATCCATCCGAAATACTGAAATCACTGATGAGGTATTCATTTTCATGTGTGTCCTGTTTTCATGAAAACAGATTGCCTCTCCTCCGGAAGGTACAGAATTGAGTACAGAACCATGTCATCAATGAAGTTGTATATTCTTGGGATGCATCACACTTTACAGATGATTCTGTGATAAAACAGGAGAATGCAGACAGCAGTATTGTCACGTTAGTGTTTTATTTAAAGTTTTTGGTCTGATGTGTTGCTATGTTCAAATCTACATTTTTTCCAGCCATTTGCCAGCAGTGTTATTGGAAAGGCTTGGTATTTGACATCTAGGCACCATTTATTGTTTCATGTTGACTGCAGATAAATTTATATGCACTGAGTCAATGCAATACATTCCAAGAGCAAAAAACTGAATCAAAGGTTTATTGTCTTTGTACTCAAAATTGTAGCATGATTCACATTCTTCAGTATTGTTACATCAGGCTCAAGATTAAGAGGGCTCAGATGCTTTTCTAGGCATTTTGTTCCATGCGCTGCCATGTGCAGTGTCCTAAATTTTCCCATATATCTGTATGCTGGGTTTGATTCTCCTTGCAGTGTAATAATACCATACCTATGTTCTGCATGGGGCTTGTAAATAATTGCAAATCTGAACTGTGCATTTACCTTGAGAAGTTGACAAAATCTTCCAGGTTTGACATGCTTTATGTATGAAGACTATAATCTGTGGGACTTGATAGCAATAAACATAATTAATTAATTTCAGGGCAAATATCAACTGCATTGTCTACTTGTGCCAAGCATAAGCTTGAGTTCTAGGAAGTTCAAACAGTAAAAGTTTTAACAAAATTGGATCAATGGACAGCATGATGCTCACTCATCACAGTGTCAAATCTGGACCCAAATGAGAAGTTTGGTAAATTTGACGGAGTGCACGTTCAAAGTCGAGAGCAGTTAAGTTGGCAACACAGGAAAGTTTTATGTTGGCACAGGCTATAAATGAAGCTGTGCTGTAGGTTTGCAGTGATGAGGAATATAACCACCTATTGAAGATACATAGCATTTGACATATGGTACAAAGTTGAGTCAGCTGCTATGTCACAAAATGCTTGCAAGGTACAATAATTGTATCACCTGTCTCAAAGCTGTTGAGGCTCAGAGCCCATCCAGACCCCATGAGCCTCATTGACTGCTAAACCCATGCAGGGTCATGGTTTAGTTATGAAATTGTGAGCATGGTTTGGATAGTTTAGGATGTGTTGTTTGTGTTGAGAATGATATGATGCAAAATTAGAATTGCATTCAAGCATGGCATGTGACAGCAAACACTCATGCAACAGGTGTTAAACTGCATGTACAAAATCCTGCATGTTGGGTTGGTGTTTCCTCTTGCTCGCCTTGACTCAGATCTGCCCTGGCGCCAGTGGCACTCATGTGTGTCTCATACCAACCCCATTTCCTTTCCAGCGCCGGTGGTGGAGACAATGAGCACGCTGGCGGCGACGGCGCACAGCTCTTCCACGCCTGTCATTACCTCCTACAGCCGGCAGCGGGCGCCGACCGCACCGGCCGCCGACGCGCCGGCCACGCCCGCCGTCGCCGACGATGGCGCAGATTGCGACATGCGCGCGGCGCGCCACGAGGTGTTCCAGCTAGGCCTGGAGGGCATGTCGCGCGAGCGGCGCCGCGACGCCCGCCTGCAGCTGCTGGTGCGGCTAGGCGCCAAACCGCCACCGCGCACCGCCACCAACTACCGCCAGCTGATGGAGGCGGCCAAGGAGCGGCGCGCCGCCGAGCGGGAGGAACGCGAGAAGCTCAAAAAGAGCGGTCTCGCGCTGCCTAGCGTCGAGATGCTCAAGGACCTGAAGAAGTTCAAGAAGCCGCGTGATAAGAACCGCGTGCGCGGCTTCGATGGCCAGCCGGGACGCTTCAAGAAGGGTGTGCAGATCGTACCGAGGCGCGTGCGCAAGAGCTGAGGGTGGTATTGGTCTCAGAAAAGGGTGGTATGTGTTTTTGTTCGTGATGGGCAGGATGCTGGCCTCATATTTTTTGCTGGTCTTGTGAAGTGCCGCCCGCACGGTGGGCCCATCAGGGGCAGTGACAAGCAGCATTCTTTGTCCTGTGCTTTGGAGCTGTTTCTGTGGGAATCGAGCACCTCATTAAGAACCAAATATATGTGGTATAAAATAATCGTGCTTATGCACATTCCACTTGTCAATGCACTGCACGTTTTGTGACAGGTCTTTCGGTTGGTGCAGCCTCTGATGAAAGAAGGTGTCCATCAATCAGTCGATCGGATCAGACCCAGCGCTGAATGGACCAGCTTAGGTGTCGGATGCGTGAAACCGAAATTGCGTGGACGACACGTATTTTATAAAAAAACTTTAAGTTTGGCGAGAAACAGCAGCCGAACGCATTGCGTCCAGCTCCGTAAACAAATGCGGTTTCTACACTCGTCCAGCACCCGTAGAAAGTGCTCGCCACGTCATGGTGGCGACACCCTTGTGTGGTCGGCGCGAACCCAGCGCCACAGTGCGGATGCCTGACGTTCCGGTGTGGCCTGTGGGTCCGACCACCGATTGCTTTGTGGGTTGATGGCAGCTGAGCGAAAAGACGCACGTTAGCCGATCGAACACTTCCAAGTCTTCGGCCGTCGCTGACAGGAGTTCAACAAGCGTCCCACATTAACCCACTCTCGGTATGACGGTGTGGAGTTGTGAATAACGCCTGTCATTCGCGCGAGTTGTCGGCGCCTTGACCAGTGTCTTATGGGGCAGTTGGGTAATTACGCATACACTGGATGCGTTTATCACCATATATCTGTTTTTTTAAGTCGTCAAAAAGCACTCGTATCACCAGTGTTGTGCTACCATAAATCAGCCCACCGCCAATCGCCAATGAATACGTTTTATCCGCGTCACTAACCGATGACAGACAGTCATTCTTGGAGCATGATATGATGAAAGTGAACTACAGATATAATGTCCCCTGAAATGCATTACGTCTTTGGGGAACGTGATATTTGGCGCTGAAGGATGAGAGAAATATTTTAGGGCAGTACTTTTGTATTCCGATTATATTATTGTTTGAGGCGGCAACGCTGTCAGCGCCCTTTCCGGTTGGTGGTACCTGTAAACAGCAACCATGGTGGGTGCGCTGAAATGTTTTGTGCAAACTTTGTGCTAAGCCGCATTTCTTTCTCACTTTGAAAAATATACTTGTATTTTTGATTTCCTCACGCATTTTCAGAGCAGAGTGAGAGATGAAAGGTGTGAACGAGAGGCATTCTGATGAACCGTAAATGTCGCGTCGCGTCGATTTGAAGGTTTCAGTAGGCTAGGCTTGTATTTTCCCTATTTCCTCCGCTTATTGGGCAATCGATATTGCTAGCAGTTGGGTCACTTGCATTTCCTTTTCGGGATGCACTGATCTGGGATGTGTGTTGTGCCACAGACATGGAATACAATGTTTGTGGAACATGTATGATGTACTTGTCTATCAGGATTCAGCTTTTGTATTCTTCATTTGAGGGGCACTTTCTATTGGAATCAGTAGACAGGAGTGATAAAAAATTCTTATTGTATCTCCTGGAAGATGTCAGTCCATCCAGGTGTGGAGTAGGATGCTCAATTAGTCCTGCCTGTAAGTATCTGCCAGGATAAATGTCAAACAGCAGTTTGTGATCACATGATTGATGTTTGAGATTGAGGTCATGTATGGTTTGGGAGCTCAGACATTATGCTGTGTTTTATATTCTATTCTTCATAAGTAGATGTGGCACTGCACATTTTCAAGTAATGTAGAACTGGCATCCATCCCCATACTTAGGAAGTAGAGATAATCTGATGTCATCAAAAGAAATAAAAGATGTAAGTGTAGATGTTTTCTTTATCTCAGGCTAGATGCACAGCAAATTATTCACTTCTACCCCATCACTGTTTAGCTGTGAGCTACAGGTGGTGCAAACAGCTATGTTCAGAAAGGATGCATTGCTGGGCTTTGAGTTCACTCCTTGTTTTCTGCTTAGTGGTGGGTTGTATGTTTTGGATATAAGTTGCAAGGTTTTGGAAATATCCAATGATATACCAAATAATTAAAAAAGTATAATTGTGAATGCTGCACTGAGCATATAGGTTTCAATATTATTGTCATAATATTTTTGACCAGTTTTTGATAGCCTGGTCATGATCATGTGACAATAGAGTATTTGCAACCCATCCAGTGGCTTGCTGTATAAACTGCATCAGGTAGATTGGGGATCAGTGGCTGAACAAAAGATAACTGGAATAATATCCATGAACTGTTGGTGCACTGCCATGTTATGACATGCCAGTATGCTAAACAGTGTCTTAGCAATTGTTCCATGTGCAACCTCAGCAGTCATCTATATACCACCAGCAAATTGTGCACTGGTAGTTATGGTACCTTTGAACTGGGGTCTAAGAAGTGTTATTTGTGCTAGAATTTTAAAGATCTGTTGTTAATTCTCAAAATTTCTTTTGAAGTCATGTTAGAATTAGACATTAATAGATACTAATATAACAGGGTACATTCAAGATGAATTCTATTCTACTTACATGCAACAGTTTAGTATAAGCAGTAGGAATACTTCTACAATTCTGTTCTTCATATTGAGCATGTGGACTTTTAGTAGGACCAACACTGTGGGCAAGTGGGGTGAATGTCATGTTTAGAACAGGGACACTGCCATGAGTTTTAGCAAGACCAGCACTGTGGACAAGTGGGGTGGGTGTAATATTTCAAACAGGAACACTGTCATGAGTGAAAGTACCTGTGGAGCACACTTTTTCAAGGCCTGACATATGGCTAGACTACAAACTTGTTCATGTGAAGAGCAAAGGAAGATATGCCACAGCTTCTGTACATTCAGCTCAGAAATATTTTGGGCAGTACTGAGTCCTTATAACTTTAGGGTCCATCCCTTCCATGCTCTGTTGTGGGTCCATGACATATGTTGGGATCATTGGGCCGAAGGAACATGTTCTGCAGTCACAATCCATGTTCACCAGTCCTTCTGTGTCTGGATTGCTGTAAATATGTTGTCCTGGGTGAATGCAAATAAAATGAAATCATACATGGAGGCTGATGACATCATGTTCATGAGCCAAAGCTTGTGCCCAACTTTGGTTTGTCAAAGGGCCATCATGTTGGCCTTCATAAAATAGGGTGTGGGTGGATGTTTATAGGAATGGCATTATCACTCTGGTGTGGTCAAGCAGCGCAGTCTTGGTGACATGCTTAGCCAGTAATATAAGCCCTATTCTGACCAAAGGTCCATCTGTTTCAGTCGCTGGTCATCTCGCCAGAGTTTCAGCACATCCTGCGTATTATGAACGCAAATATTGATGGCAGCACCAAGATTATGTATGCGTTGACCGCCGTCAAGGGTGTTGGCCGTCGCTACGCCAACATCATCATCAAGAAGGCCGACATTGACCTGAACAAGAGGGCCGGTGAGCTGTCTGATGAGGAGGTAAGATGCTGCCGCGACGCCTCGGGCGCGGCTGGTGTCGCCGGCCTGATGACTTCAGGACGAGCATAGACATTGTTTGCACCGTCTTGCACTGCCAGTTGGAGCGAGTGTAGCCCATATTGGCGTTTTGTGGGGTGCTTCGCCGACTGTTCAAGTGCAATTATAGCTGAAAATCGACTTGGAAATGGCCAGTTGAGTTTTTTGTGGTATGCATTTTTGATGATTGTTGGGGTTATGGGGTGAAACAGTAAGTGGTGATTGAAAGCAAAATATAGGCCATCTGTTTTTCTGGTACTATCGACGTGCATGTACTGGGATGGATGGATTCCATCTTCCATTCGTAATTTATCGAGAACCTGTTGGAATCACGGGTCTGCTGCATGACGATAGTTTTGGGCGCTGCCTGACAGCGCGCAGCCGACGCGCCGTAAAGCTCGAAACCGCCGCCGTCATTGTGTCGGTCATCATCACCTTCAGGTGCACTTTGCACTTACTTTGCTGTTCGCGCTCCGTATTCCGAGTCAGCTGGGAAACTGGCCACTGCATCGCTGGTAGAAATTGAATTGGATCAGAAGAGTTGATTCATGAGACGCCAGGGCGGCATGAATTCGCCTCGTCGCTCAGACACGGTTGACATGCCGCTGGACCTGGTTGCTCAACTGATAACCAGCTGGGCAGTGGGATCAACATCTTAAATGGAGAGCACGATATTTTTCGTCTGGCGCTTCAGCAGCCGACACCTTCGCGAGTGTTCGGCTGATCAGGCGGGGAGGACATTTCTGATGTAAACGTGACGTGGTTCATGTGTGTCTTTAGATCTAGGTGTAGATCTGCCACGACTTGAGACGGTTCTCTGGGAGCGCCCTCCTGGGGAGACACGCGGCGCCCTCCTGACACACGTTTCCCTCCGTTCCAGGTGGAGAAGCTGGTGACGATCATGTCGAACCCGCGCCAGTACAAGGTGCCCGACTGGTTCCTCAACAGGCAGAAGGACCACACGGACGGCAAGTTCAGCCAGCTGCTGTCCACCACGCTCGACTCGAAGCTGCGTGACGACCTGGAGCGGCTGAAGAAGATCCACGCGCACCGCGGCCTGCGTCACCACTACGGCCTGCGCGTGCGCGGCCAGCACACCAAGACGACCGGCCGGCGCGGACGCACTGTCGGTGTCAGCAAGAAGAAGTAGGCGGGGACAATACACGACCGAGAGCGGGTGGCGTGTGTGTGTGCGTCGGCACGTGCGGAGCGGGTGTGGAGTCGGAGCCGGTCGGGCAGAGGAAATGCGTGGCTGGAGGGGCGGCTGAGCGGAGGCCGCTCAGCCGCTTGCCGGCCAACGCCGGGCAAGCCACACGGCGGCTTGCCTGGCGTTGAGTTTGGTTGGTGACGCCGGGTCTGTTCGGATACGGCCGGCGGCGGGACGGCCCGTTAGGTGACACAGGCAGGCGTTAGTGCTTGCTCCGAGACGGCACCGGCGTAACAGTGCAGCGCGCGTGTAAGCTACGGGGACGGTCCTGGAGCAGACAGGGGAGGGAGGCGTGAAAGACCGGACTACGCCTTTGACCTGAACTGGTTCCTCAACGGGATGGCGCGCAGTGGAACCACTGCTCAGTTTGAATAGAAATGCAATTACGGCGTCCCGACGCTCGATCACGATCAGCCGCATCGTGGGTCGTTTGCTACTGGACTTAACGGCGCAGTTGGTTGCTGAGGATACAAGCGGCGCGTGCCTCTCACCACCGCTGGAAGGGTTGGGAAGGGTTCGATTAAAGGTACGCGATTGGATTCCCCGAGTACCGCGAGGAATCGGAAGTCCATGCCTCTGGGTTCTCAGACACACGGCTGAATCTCCACACTATCGATATCCTGGTGGTGGCGTGAGCCAGTGATGCGGTCATTAGCGTGCTCGGTCTGCCACGGTCCAGGTCACCGCGACGTGTCTGCCGTGACCTGGAAGCAACTGAACGTAGGTATCCCACGCAGCTGCTGCCAGTGTGTGTGCTCCCGCTCGCGTCGATACCACTGGGTACGACGCTCGCTTTAGGCACACGGGAAACTATAGCCCACGGGTTGCATAGCAAGCTCTCACGGAGTTGTATCCAGCATACTTCTTATGGTCGGTGGCGCCCGATATGTGCCATTCGTCTGTGAGGGGAGGCGCGCGGCGTTCCCCATGCATAGATGGCGCTCGCGACTGATTAGGAGGAAGAAAGGTGGCGGTGCCGCCGTCCGTCATTGTTCCGTCGCACGTTCGCTCAGACATTTGGTTGCGAGGATATGCTGAGTTTCTTAGGATTTTATGCCGAATCGTTGTGCGTGCACCACTACATGCCGCAAACCCGCAATCTCAACCAGCTGACAGCCATGACTGAACGCATATCACGGTAGCCGTGTGATGAAAACCACTGCCGCTGTCAGCCCCGCGGTTTTGGGTTGGGAGAAAATGTGAGGATTTAGGGCTTTTTTGCAAAACTCAGACTTACACATGCTAGCATTATTGCTAGCAATCATTCAAATGGTACCGAGGCCGATGTTTGTGTGCCTTAAACGTACCTAAATCCTTGTGAACATTACGCTGGCCCGGCAGTGATAGCAGAAGTGCGAACGACAGTCCCGTCCAGGGTACCAATTTGGTGCATTTGAGACACTTGCCGTTTTAAGCCCATCGTAAAATTAAAATGGCAACATGAGGTAGAACAGCACGCTCCAAACAGATTAGTAGACCGTTTTAGAATACCAAAATGAATGGCACTCAGCATAAGGTATCAAGCATGTTGCAAAATCAGCGCAAATTTTGTTGTAATTTCTAAGCAGCAAGCACAGTATTGTTGATTCTGATGTAAAGTTTGTCAAACATCAGCTAGGGACCAGGGGATATTACATGGTACAGGCACCCTACATCGGTCCCCACTAATGCGTCCAGGTCGTGTCTGATAAAATGTGTTTGTTTAGAACTGAACTGAGAAAGCTCGTTGGTTACAGGTTGGAGGAAAGGCATCGATCGTCTGCTGCACTACCTTTGCTAGGTTGAAATTTTTTACTTGCTTCAAGGTTTTTTAACGTTTTTATGTTACGATGTTTATATAAATATATATATATATATATATATATATATATATATATATATATGCTCATATATGTATGTATATGCGTCACATGCCTCACGAGTTATAAGGAAGGGAGCCGGACCTTAATGGGATCTTGGACTTTGCAAGTCACGCGAGTACGAGCCAAACGATTCAACGTAAGCGATGAGTGAGCTGAAAAAAGTGGAAAAGGTTAAGGTCACGAGCAGACACGGATTCCAAAACATGTGAGCCGGTCCTGAGCCTGCTTAATAGTTTGATTCGAACACAGGTCTGGTCACAAGCGGCACACGCTGTTCAGCACAACCACTAGCGGCTTCTCATTCGGCTGCGGCGTGCGATCGGGCCCGCCCCGTCCCTCCACGCTCCCACTCCGCCCCTCTCGGCAGCCACTCCGACCGTCGACGAACCGCGAAATGCGCCTGGTCGGATTTCGCCCCGAGCCTCTCTGGCCCCGGGCCGGCGGCGGTGTTGGGTGTCGGGGCGCCAGAGGCGGATAACGGCCGACGAGTCCCGCTCCAGCCGGCGGAGCTGGGCTAGCTGGTGCTGGTGCTGGTGCTGGGGATGGAACTGGTCTGGTGACAGAACTGAGTCCCGCTCCAGCCGGCGAAGCTAAGAAACTGGTGCTGGTGCTGGGGATGAAGCAGGTCTGGTGATTGAGCCGGACATGGTCAGGAGACGGAGCTGGTGCTGGTCTGGTGACAGGGCCGAACATTGTCAGGAGACGGAGCTGGTGCTGGTCGGGTCACAGAGCCGGACATGGTCAGGAGACGGAGCTGGTGCTGGACTGGTGACAGAGTTGCCATGGCCAGGAGACGGACCTGAACCTCGTCAGGAGACGGGGCTGCACTGATCACATGACAGAGCTGGGGCTGTTCTGGGGAGCGTCTGCGGCGGACGCGGGTCCGGTTCTGGAGAGTGTCTGCGGCAGATACGGATCTGGTTCTGGAGAGTTCTGCGGCAGACGCGGATCTGGTTCTGGGGAGTTCTGCGGCAGACACGGATCTGGTTCTGGGGAGTTCTGCGGCAGACGCGGGTCCGATTCTGGAGAGTATCTGCGGCAGACAAGGGTCCGGTTCTGGAAAGTGTCTGCGGCAGACACGGTTCTGGAGAGTTATGCGGCAGACGCGGGTCCGGTTCTAGAGAGTTCTGCGGCAGACGCGGGTCCGTCTGATGCCGGAGCGCGTAAAATTTGCCTGCCGTATCGCCGGATCAGCCGCCGCTCCAGTTACATCACCGCCCCGCCAAAGCCGATCTCTCTTGTCACCCTCGTCAGATGGGCGCTGAGTCACCCAATCATCAGCAAGAGCAGATGACGTTCATTACGTGGTGTCCGATTCCCGTCCATTATCAGCGCTCGCACCTCGCCGTCTGCGCGTGGACTCGCCCTCGACAGGGGGCTTATCGCTCACGTGTGCATCGATCAGCCGGGAATATGAGCAGTCGGGTGAGAGGTCCGGGCGAAGGTGCCGGAGCCTGCCCGCGAGCAGCGCGCTTCAACACCGCGGGCGTGGTGCAGCGCTGCGGGCGGGGTGGCGGCACTGGAACAGGGGCCCGACCACGCCCGCAGCCGAGATTGCCTTCAGACAGCGACGCGGAGATCGATGAGAACGCATCTCATCGATTTTTTTGCAATTTTTGTCCGGAGTATTCTATGGTGTAACGCAAAAGATCGGAGCCTAGTGGAAGACACCTGGCCCCTTTTTTATCTGCGCCCCTAGGCACAACCACCTGGAACCAATCCCCCAACCATTTTGCATGGTTGGGAGGTTGGGTCTTGGATAATCCCAGGTTTCAACACGAAATTGATGCTGGTGTGTTGGAACTATGGTTCAACAAATCTAAATCAATGTTGCAGGTATACCAATGTAATTCCTTTGATTAAAAGGTGTTGTCCTGCGTTGACGACAGCCACAACAATATTTGGCTGTGAGTGCGTGGGGTTAGTTAATAACCCTCACACATTACTGTGCATGACATAGTGTAAAAAGCAATGTGTTTCAGCAGCGATGCATGATGCAGCATTAGGCAGGGCTAGTTCCTGAACCAGGGACGGTGCCACCGAGGCGGCGAACTCGTCACCTCCATTGTCGGATAGGAGGGGACAGACCCGCCCCCCTCCATTATGGCAGCCTCCCTGCAGAAGAAAATTAATTTTTCGCGCAGATTTTCACTGAATGCCCCGTTACCGATTTTCACCCGCAATGAAGTTCTTTCACATCGACAGAGTTACATGGCGCCTGTGGGACCCCATACGGGTCATTGCGCCCGTAGGACCCCGTGCGGGTCCTTGCGCCCGTAGGACCCGTACGGGTCCTTGCGCCTGCAGGGCTCCGTACCGGTCAGACGACTTGCCTCCAGGGCCGCGGCTGGGTGCCCTTCGAGGGTCCCCGCTTGCGGTGACGGCGGCGAGTGGCGAGCGGTCAAACGGTGGCGGTGCTGAACCGTGGTCGGGACGGGATGGGGCTCCCCGGTTACACGTGGCCGTGTGGGAGGCGTCGCTCGCCACGCGCAGCGCCGAGGTAGCCCTGGCGGTGACCACCTCCCGAAGGAGCGTTAGACTGTCCCCAGCTGGGCTCCGCGGAGGGCGGGAAACCCCGGTGCCGGATTCGAAGAACATTTTTGTCATCGTATATTTAAATATTTCGACAATCTCTCAACCAGCATGACCGAAAACTCCCCTTGCATGGACATCACAACCCGTGCCGGATGCTGAGATGCGGAGTATTCGCCGACCACCTTGAGAGTCTCGGACCACTCCTCAGTTTCCACTCCAATCGACTTACCGCTGCCTAAATGCTTCACAGTTCAGCGAGCCAAGTTTAACCCTGATCGTAAGCCGTCGCCCATAAATTTGAACCTCTTCCAGTGAAAAGAAGCATCTCCGCATTACGGCGCCTCCAGGCGGGTTTGGGGATGCCCTAACGTCTCGGTCGAGACGATAATGTCAACGATAAAAAACGTGAGACGTCTGCTTGCGACGGACGAGCTCACCAACCGAGTGCGAGGTCAAGGTTGCGTCAGCGTGGCTTTGACTGTGAAGCCGCACTCTACTCAAGACGCAGCCAAAGACGTGATGACGTGCTGGCATCTACGGGAGCGTCGCCGTAGGAGATAGGAGAGGGCTTGAAGAAGCACGGAGTGACTGCTGCCAAGCGCACCAAGAAAAGAGACCGGCCGGCTTGCTCACACAGACGCCAGTGTTCTCCCATTAGATGTCCCATTACTGCAGTCTGAGGTTCAAGTGGACTATCACTCCATCGCAGTCAGGTTGTTCCTTCCGGATCTAGTTCGCTGCTCCCTGTGCCAGACCTTCGGTTACGCCACCGGCAGTTGTCGGCGAGATCCACGACGCAGCACGTCAATGCGTCTTCTCAAAGCACCAGTCTTGGGGCTGCGTAACTGAGCGCCCGAGACACTCGAAAGGAGAAGTGTGCAGAAAGAAGCAAGCGAAAGAAGCAGAAGCAGTGGCGACCACGCCCCTTCCTTCAGGAAGCCTGTCGGATGCTTCTGGCTAGAAAGGAAGTCATTGCGATTAAATTCAAAAAAGGGCTTTCATTTGGAGACGGTCCGCGTACGTACAGGAAAACGAATTGCTAATGAAGTGAATATGCCATGGTGATGATGTGTCGCCGATGACGTCTACGGTGATGATGCTTCGCCTGTAACGCTGTCTCGCCGGTGACGTTGTCAGCCGCGATGCGTCGCCGGTGACGTTGTCTACCGTGATGTGTCGCCGGTGACGTTGTCAGCCGTGATGTGTCGCCGGTGACGTTGTCTACCGTGATGTGTCGCCGATGACGTCAGCCGTGATGTGTCGCCGGTGACTTTGTCTACCGTGATGTGTCGCCGGTGACGTTGTCTGCCGTGATGTGTCGCCGGTGACGTTGTCTGCCGTGATGTGTCGCCGGTGCCGTTGTCTGCTGTGATGTGTCGCCGGTGACGTTGTCTGCCGTGATGTGTCGCCGGTGACGTTGTCTGCCGTGATATTGTTTGTGGGACCCTCACCAGTGTCTGGTGGTGCTGGCCAGGTACCGACCTCATAAGGCCCAGGCGCTTACATACATACACATGACTGTGCATGAGTTTATTACATTGACCACCTCAGCACCAGTATCTCAGGTGTCCACCACCTTTCCCATCCGTGGAGAAAGCGGGGCATAGCATCCCGCAGCCGCCGTGAACAGGGCGCCTAACAAACGAAACCGCCCCGCTCACTCAGAGAGCGCTCTGAAGGACCAAAATACGTCCCGAGGCGGGAAGAGACGTAACGCCCTGAATCATAAAAGGGGCCCCAAACCATGGGGATGGGGGCGCCCGGGGGCTCAAAGATAGCCGCCGATGTTGGAAAGATCTCCCACGCTTGGGTGTCACTTTTTAAGGTCGCATGGGGGCTCAGCCGATAAGGCTGACCTGACCTACCCCCAAAATTTGCTGGAATGGAGTTCTCCCATTGGAGTTTTAGCAGCGCACATGATATCTGGAAATGTGTCCTCATGGCGATGGCATCAAAAACAGCAACCAAAGGACACTCCAAAGTCTCGAGGTGTAACCCCAAGGGATCAAATGGCTTCTCTCGGGTATGAAAATATTTCCACTGTTTAAGACCTGGCAAAACCCCGGAAAAGTGCCGTAATACCTAAAAACTACCTACTGGGCCAGGCCGCCTTAAAAATTTGGTGCTCCCAATTCAGGAGAAGCGTCTCTACCGTTTCGGACGGCCAACTCTCCGCTGGTCGTCGGGTGTTAATCGCTCATGAGACTCCCACTGCTTTTGTTTTTAAGCCGTATATGCGTCGCAGCATCGGAAACATGGTTGGCATGTTCGGGTGAAAGGGCGGACAAGCCTGTTTTTGAGAAGTGCGCCCGTCGCCCAGAAGTCATGCCCAATACCGAAAGGGAAGCCGAAGTCAGCTCGTAAAAAATCATTCGAAGCGAAGCCAAGGCCGAAGCCAGCCATGAAAATGGCTCAAAGCCGGAGCCGAACCCGAGCCATCGGAGAAAAACTGTGGCTGTGCAAAGCCGAAGTCGAAGCTGAAGCCCCCTCCGTCCCCATGCCTAAGCCGAGTGTACATTTCTTGACGTTAGTGCATGCAGGTGATCGAGGACCATAAAACAAAAACTTGCGTTATTTGTCCAAGCTAAAGATATTTTGTGAGACCTGAATAGCCTTAAATCTGAATGACTGTCTCGTATACTGTACTTTTGGATCTAAATGTCAGTCATGGGCACCAAAGTAATACCAATGTGGCAGCGGCTGGTTCAATGTCATGAATTTGCTGCAGGACCGACCACATGATCGACTACGTGAACGACTGTCACTACGCGCTGCTCACGTGAGACAGAAGTTGCGACATGCGGTGTGACAGCTTCATTGGTGTAGGACAGTATATATGTATATATATATACATTTGTGTGTGTGTGTGTGTCTTTAACATTTATGCAGTATACTTTAAAATTACCAGTTGTTCGCATTGCAACGTTGCCCGAAAATAATGACTGAGAGGGTCAAATTAACCCCACTCCGCGAAGGTTTTTCCGGAATGGTTTCCGAATAGCGCGGTGTGGCCGCGCCAAAATTTCCATAACTGTAACAGCATAATAGCAGACATAATAGCAGGCATAATAGCAGATCGTCTGGCATCAAAACTTAAGGTGCACCTTGTAAGGTCGCTGACTTACGGCAGGTCAAAGTCAGGCCATGGATTCAGCGAAGACAATTTGTAGGGAACTGTTCAATCTGATGCAACAATGCAACAATGGAATGTTGGGAAAAGACATACATCTAAAAGGTAGCTTCTTAGGCAACATAGCCATTGAATGAACAGATTGCATTGACCTAGGGTCAGGTATAAAGGTCAGGCCAAAGTAAAAACCAACATATTTTGTTACTCTAGGGTTTGCTGTACGGGGTAGTTTCTGGTGCTTTTTTTCAAATGTATTGATAACAGGAACCGCATTATACACCTTCAATGGACTTCTTAAAACTCAGGATAGGCCACTGACCTAAAATGACCCAGGTCAACGTTTTGTTTCCAGGAACATGCTGGCTAGTGTAATCTTTTTCGTCTTTTCAAATGCAAAGCTCAAAGCAGTCTTGTATGATTTTGGTCACCATGACCTTCAAAAGATCAAACAAGGGCACTGACCTCAAATGAGCATGTTAAGTTTTGCTTAGAACAGTTATCTAGGTTCTAGGGGCACTTTGGAGACCAACCCAGAATTTGACCTTGACCTTGTTTGACCTTATTTGACCCAAAGGTCATGACCTAGAAACCTCAAACTTTGACTTAAGTGAGCTCACGCACAGGTCAACACAAGCTGTGAATTTAGGGTCTCTAGCTCCCATAGTTCTTGAGATCTCAGGGAAGGGGTCAGATTGACCCTCACCCGAGCGAAGGGTATCCAACCGGCCACCCGGGCGCGTTTAAAACAAACGTCATGCTCAGGCCAAGTTCGGGTCAAGTTGTGTTACTCAAGTGGACCATTGATCACTGTTCATGTGAGACGTACGCTGCCTACTGGTTTGCTCGTAATCACGTCCTGAAAACGCAAACCACTCTTAAAGTTACACACACGAGCGTCCTGGAAAGCGTAGGAGGCTTACATAAGCGTGTGGGTGTTGATAGAACACGGCATTCCGCACACACCATGTCCTTGTGTCCAGCTCTGCATGTGTGTTAAGTTGGGATGGTGTGACAAAAAAACTGCAGCAATTTAAAAGCATGAGCTAGGTGCTGTCGTTGCACTGGCACGTAAAAGAGCAGTAATGTTGAAGGAATGATGCTTCGTTCATACGCTTTAACCCTTCTTTGAGTCAAAATATGTTAAGTGTACGGCAAGAGATGTTGATTTATTGCTCAAATGGTTGCGAAAAGTACAAAATATGCAAAAAAGTGTTACCAATAAGTAAGAGAAATGTAACAGTTCTGTGGTGCATGTTTGTATTTATCGAACTTATTCGAGGATTAAGTCAACGTGGTTGCGTATACCTGCAATGTGCGCAGTTCAGTTGGCCTGCACGAACTGAACGCAAATAGAAGACAAGTGCGCAGTTCAGTTCAGTGCTTACTTTGTTTTCTTTGCTATCCAAACGATCATATGATTTCAACATACTGCATGTGTCAGTGACACGCAATGAACAACACCGCAGTTATCACACTCCCATAAATGCAACAATGGACCAATCCAGGAAGATGTCTGAACCGCAGTGGCACTCGCGTGCTGAGCCGCAACGGCGCATTTAAAACCACAAATGAGAAACTAATTCGCTTTACGCTTTCCCCGCCAGATTTATTAGCTGCGGTAATGCCGCTACCGGGTAAACGACACCAGCCGCACTGCGTCGCGCAACACAGCACATTTTACTCAGCGGGGTCCGCTAATTCAGGGCCGGCCGTCTGTTCAATTGCCTGACACTGGGAGCGCCGGCGACGCGGGCTCTGCACCGGCTTCACAGGCTCCCGGGCCAGGTCGCCGTACCGGGCCGGACCCCGCCGCAGCAGCGCCCCCGCCGCGGCTCCTGCTCGCGTAATTAGTAAGGTAATGCATATTAATCGCGGAGTGAAACACTCGCGGTCGTGTATCACTGCGGGCCGCGACAAGCGTTAGAGAACGGCCGGCGTGCTGGCCGCGTTCAACACAGAAACAACCCGGGCCTGTGATGAGACAGGTGCGGCGATGGCTCTGGCGAGCGGGAAGGCTCGCGGGATCCTCTCCACTCGAGACGAGCGGCCTTTGGCTTTAATTAAAGTGTAATGATGTAGTAATAACACATTGTGTGTCGTGCTCTAGTTCCTTAAATTCATTGTCTATGCGACTGGCCTGGAGTCTGATAACTAGCATTGCGGCGCAGCGGACATAACGGTCTGCTTTAGCTTTGAGAAGAGTGAGCGTTGTGAGAGAAGTCTTGTGTTGAAGACTTGGAGCAAAGGGCAACAACCGTGGTTCAAGCCGTGCTATATGTGCGCAGCTAGTAAAATGCGGGCTTATCCGTGCCCCATTATAAGGTTAAGGTTTCGTTCTTAAGCATCGTAACATGTCTCTAGTTTTGGCGGCCCGAGTTAAACATCAAGGTTAACATCAAGTTTTACAGTATATATATATATATATATATATATATATATATATATATATATATATATATACTGTAAAACTGCAATAAATATATATATATATATATATATATATATATATATATATCATCATCCGGGATTTGCGCACCATTTTACGAAAGACCTGTCAGAATTCATGATACATTTTAAAATGTTGTCGAAAGTTCCTCTGAGATACGATATTCCTGTTTGAGCCCAACGCACATATCTGGTTCCAGGATGTTGGAAATCGATGTATGCCGTTTTATACGCCCTTCAAATAGCTCTATGAAAGGTGTCTCAGGTTTCTTAGTATGACTAGATGTGATCATGATAAAGGGTGATTGAGCATGTTTATATATTGCGTGAAGGATGCTTGCGCGCTGGCATGCCAATACGGTTGTGTTGGCTCCGTTTGAAGAGGCTTGAAAGCGTGTCGGCGCTGCGTACGATAACGATGTGAATAGTCGGTGTGAATAGAAACCAAATCTCTGAAACCCACTGAATTTAATAGAATCGAGTTGGAGCTTCATGCTGAAAGCGAGCTGCCAGAATACCTTTAAATGATAGGCTGTGACTTGTTTGATGGCATATGGGGTACGGCTGCCATAGTGGTTATATATACATATATATATATATATATATATATATATATATATATATATATATATCTATCTATATCACCACTACAATCTTCCTCGGCGATTGCAACAGTTGCGGATCGCCAACACCGGTGGCCGCGCCGGTGGCCGGGATCGAACCCACGGCTATCACTGTTGGCCGGTGTCGAACCCACGGCTATCACCCTTGGCCCGGGGTCGATCCCATGGTTATCACCGTTGGCCGGTGTCGAACCCACGGCTATCACCAGTGACCGGGCTCAAACCTCTGGCTGTGATGCGCCACGTGCGTTTTAATCGTGGGTCATAGCTATCGGCACACACCGGGATGCCGGAAGCCCTCTCAAGTTTGAAAGGAGGGGCGTGGCGCTGATCGGACATCCTCAGCTTATCAGCGCCCTTATCAGGGCCAATGGTAAGCTTTCAAAAGTTGGACGAACAGCAAAATGTGAAAACATGTGTTGAGGTGGGCAAATCATTGAAACGGAACAGAGGGCACTAAAACACAAATACATACGATGCATTGTGTTATTTCATAGGCACAACCGAGTCCTCTCTTGTGGTTGGTCCCCTCCGCCAGCGACGGCTGCTGATTGGCTAACCGCCGAGACGGTGGGCGGGGCACCGGACCCGGCATGGACGCTGGCATTCCTATCACATCCGAGTTCGGCAGTGCCACAAGTGACGGGGCGGTGGGGGGCCGCCGGTGACGCCTGCTTCGGGTATCAGCGGCTGGTGACGCCAGCTTCGGGTATCAGCGGCCGGGGACGCCAGTTTCGAGCATCAGCGGCGCAGCGGAGTGAATGGAACGGAGTGACGTCCCGCGCTGGTCGAAGCAGAGCTACAAGCCGGAGCGGAGCGGAACTCGGGCCGGACCGAGCGGCCGGGAGAGTGCGGCGCCATGACGGTACAGCCGTCGGAGTCGCCGGCGGCCGGCGCCGCGGAGACGCTGCGCCGTCTGCGCAGCCTCTGCGAGTCCTACAGCGCGCCGGGCGCTGCCCCGCCGGCCGTGCCCCCCGGCGGCGTCGGCGGCGGCGGCCGGGAGTCAGGCGACGCCGGCGCCGCCGACGAGGCGTGCCGGACGGCGACAGCGGCGGGCGGTGTCGAGCTCCAGCCCGGCGAGACGGGCTCCCCGACGTCTGCCGTCCACAGACCGGGCTTCTCCATCACGGACATCCTGCGCCCGGCGGGGGGACGGGCGGTCCGGACGCAGTCGGGGGACAGACTGAGGGCCGGGGCGGGGTCGGACGCGCCCGCGGGCGGTGAGGCCTCTGCTGGCGCTCCGGGCGGCGGGGCACGGCTGGAGAGCTCCGCTAGACCGCGGAGACGGCGCGCGGTTGAGACGCCATCGCCCCTTGACCCCGAGCATGCCACGTGTGCTGACGTCACTGGACGCCTGACGGCGGCGTCTGCCAGTGATCCCGGGTCAGACATCCATGTTGACCTGCGAGGTGAGTGCGCGGCGCAGGCTTCTCCCGGCGGTGACCTCGGTGCAGACAGCTCCTATGTCGGACCCCACGGCCGGCTGTGGCCCTCGCTGCCCTGCGGCTCTGACCCGGACAGGTGGGCTGGCCCCGGTAACTCCGACGGGGCCGCGGGGGTTCGGCGGCCCCCTCGGCCGACTCGAGTGAGGCTGGTGACCTCAGCGGCGCCGCGTCAGGCTCGGCACCACCCTCGGCCGACTCGAGTGAGGCTGGTGACCTCAGCGGTGCCGCGTCAGGCTCGGCACCCCTCTCGGCCGACTCGAGTGAGGCTGGTGACCTCAGCGGCGCCGCGTCAGGCTCGGCACCCCTCTCGGCCGACTCGAGTGAGGCTGGTGACCTCAGCGGCGCCGCGTCAGGCTCGGCACCCCCCTCGGCCGACTCGAGTGAGGCTGGTGACCTCAGCGGCGCCGCATCAGGCTCGGCACCACCCTCGGCCGACTCGAGTGAGGCTGATGACCCCAGCGGCGCCGCGTCAGGCTCGGCACCCCCCTCGGCCGACTCGAGTGAGGCTGGTGACCTCAGCGGCGCCGCGTCAGGCTCGGCACCCCCCTCGGTCGGCGAGAGTAAAGGCGAGCTGAGTGACCCCTCAGTGGAGACCAGCGGCCCGGCGGACGCTGGCATGCGCCCGAACCTGAGCTCGCTCCCTTTGTCAGGGATGTCCTGTCCAAGGAAAGCGATGTTTTGATTTACTTTCCCGGCGCTCGGCGTGTGAATATTCGTACAAAGAGTTGGGCCCGCAAAGGTGCTGGAATGAATGTGTTTTAGCGACAACGTTAGCAATTTTTGGTAGTTTTTCAATGCTGAACTTCCATCGCTAGCTTATTTTATTAGCAGCGAATTTTTGCGTGGCCGCTGCCACACAGGGGCGGATCTAGCCTGGAGTGGGGGGGGGGGGGGGACAACCGTTTGTCGCCAGCTGGCTGGTGTGAGATCCGAGGTCCAGTGCATGGTGCCTCTCGCGAGTACAATGGTGTCTTGCGCAAATATGCGTTTTGTTTTGATGTTCAAATCGCTGCCAACTTTTCTTCATGAAGTTTTTTTCCGAAACGGAAAGAAATGTTTGATACCGCACCATCAAAGTTAAAACAGACGGTAAGTAGGCGAAACTTTTATGAAGTTCCGGGAATGTTTTTTTGGGGGGAGAGGGCAAAACATACTCACAGAGTTTTTTTGGGGCCATGGCCCCGTGCCCCCCCCCCCCCAGGATCCGCCTATGCTGCCACATCCGCCGCGCCGCATGCTCAAACATCAGACCCTGGCTTGACGAGTTCTGGATGTCATGGAACTCCTGGTTCGGGTGTTGCGATTCGCGGCAAATCGCAACATAGTCTGATGAAATAGCCTGATGGCGGTTTAAGTTGTTATGCCCCCCCCCCCCCCGCCCCCGAGTGAAGCAAAAGCGTTTACCGGAAGGCATGCACGCCTGTTCTGATTGTTCTGGATGCGATGCGTGATTATCTAGGATGCGGCGCTTGGTACGAAATAATTTCTAAAGCCTAGCACGGCCCGTGTTACGGTGAGCCACGGACTAAACTTACGGCGAGTTTAGCCACATCCATTTTCGGTGCAGCATGGCAAGAGCAAGCAGTTTTTGCTCCCCTATTTTATCAACTTAGCACTGATGGCTGCTCGAATGGGCATCAGAAGTCGGTTCCAAGAACAAACAGATCACAGCCACGTGCAGCGGGTTTTGAGATATTCCAGGCAAGCATGCTGAGCGGGAAAACGGCCATGTAAAGCTCGGCTTCTGTATTTGAAGCATGTGAAACATGGCGTGGAGACCGCGAAAGGTCATGTTCGAAAGTTCATTGTTCGTAAGGCCACTGTTTGAAAGTACATGAAAGTACGAGCTTAGCTTCCACAGAGGTGCCGATTTCGTCTCGAAAAAGTTGTGCAGAAGTGTGAGGAAACAGGCATAGCCGCTAGTAAGTGGTAAATAAGGATATATCTTCGCACAATCGGCGTATTCTATATATATATATATATATATATATATATATATATATATATATACTAGATGTCGTATACATGATCTACTTCGTACTGGAATCACTGAACTACGCGTTCTGTCTCGATTGTTAACGGGCCCTCCAGCTCAATGGGCTCCCCGGTCTGTCTTCTGCGGAACTGATCAAGTCAGCCAACCGCATTTCACTGTGGAGCACCAGACCACTAGCGTCTCTGACGAGCACCAAACGGCTACCCGACACCCAATCCAAATCCACACTTGCAGCCCAGTGGGGCACGCCTGAAACACACACCAGTCGACGGATGTTAACGTCACACCTGGTGCCGGCATCTCATCGGAACCGACCGCGACCAATCAGGGTCGGCGTCATCGCCCGCCGACGACTGGCGTCGCGGTTGTCATGACGACCGACCGGGGGCGCCACGCGTGACACGTGCGCCGTGTGCGCCGTGGCAGGTGGCACGCGCAAGTGCACGTGCCCACTTCATTAACACGGCCGGCAGGGGGAACCAACGTCGGGCACAGCGCTGGCGGAGGCGCATCAGCTGGGGGGGGGGGGGGGGGGAGGGGGCAGAAGTGGGGCGTAATCACCGGTCAGAGAGGTCACATGACAGCCGGGACACGCGCCGTCGCCGCGGTGACGAACGTCACGTGACGGCCCGTCGGGCACGCGTCCGGAGGGGATGTCAGGACAGCCGGTGATCACGTGATCAGCGGGGGTCGCAGGTGTGGGAGGTGGGCTGGTCTGGATTGGCGCAGCGTTTACAAGTGACAGGCAAGACCTCACGCTGCGAGCTATAATACATATTAGGGCCGACTTGCTCCTCAAAAAATACTCCGTCTGCAGCCATGTGTAGCTTCGCAAAGAAGTGGGGACACATCCCCATTTAGCGGTCGGAAAAACAGAGCATTGCTGCGGCTAAAATGAGATGCGTGCGTACGGGTACATCATGACCGTTTGTATAAAAATGATTGCACATGCCCGAATGCGCGGATATTTCGGACTTCGTAGCTTTGCCTTTCGGCCCGGTGGTCCCAATGTTTATGTGGCCGATTCCATAATTGCTGCCCGTAGAGGCCCCTGATCTCGGCATGCACTTCGGGCAGCCTGCCGACGGTGGAACTGGCCGCCTATGCTCACCTTTGGTACTATAGCTATTTAGATACCTCTGCGCACCCCGTCATCCTCTTAGAAAAAGGGCACCATTTTTCCAATGCATGTTAGTTTTTCAATACATTTCAGTTTTTGGTTTCAAAATGATGGGTCCCGGCGGCACAAGCCATGCTGTGGCTGCCCATGCCAACTTGAAAACCTGGATACCAGATCTAGTAAGGTACTCAGTCTCTATTCGATATTTTTTATAAAATGTTGCAAACCCTTGACCGGAGGCCTGCCTTCATTCGCACCGAAGCGGACGAACGCCAGCAGCCGAAGCGGTTGCACGCCGTCACCGCTCAATGCGCATTCACAGGGCTCGTGGGCTGGACCGAGCCGCCGGTGAGGCCGGCGCCTGGCCCCTCCAGCCGCCCAGAGAGGGCCGGCCGGATCAGCCGGTGCCGCAGGGCCCGCACCTCCTTCACCGACCACCAGCTGCAGACTCTGGAGCGCAGCTTCGAGCGCCAGAAGTACCTGAGCGTACAGGACCGGCTGGAGATGGCCGCCAGCCTGCATATCACCGACACTCAGGTCAAGACCTGGTACCAGAACAGGAGGTGAGGCACGCTACCGACGCTCAGGTCAAGACCTGGTACCAGAACAGGAGGTGAGGCACCCCACCGACGTTCAGGTCAAGATCTGGTACCAGAACAGGGGGTGAGAGACGTCACCGACGCTCAGGTCAGGACCTTGTACCAGAAAAGGAGGTGAGAGACGTCACCGACACTCGGGTCAAGACCTGGTACCAGAACAGGAGGTGTGGCACGTCACTGACACCCAGGTTAAGGCCTGGTACCAGAATAAGAGGTGAGACACGTCACCGACACTCGGGTCAAGACCTGGTGCCAGAATAGGAGGAGAAGCACGTCACTGACGCTACGCGGATTTTGTATGCTTCCGATATGGCATGCTTCGTCCATTTTTGTACTTTCTTCTCAAACTCTTTCCTTTGGACGATATTCCCTATACTCGCTAACATTTGTTATGCGGGCCTCTTGTTTCCAATTTCGCTTGTTTCGCTCGTTTTGTTTGTTTTCTTCAACTCTCGCTTTAACTCTTAGTCTTGGCGACATCCCTTATGCGAGTCGCCAGTACGTTACGCGGATCACTTTCTGCATCGTTGTTTCCCTCAACTTGATGTTTGCCATACGCGTAACTAGGTGCAAAGGCTCCTCCATTCTCCGCTATTCAATCATGATACTCCGACGTCTTCCCACTGACATAAACGGCAATCACGAGATTCCCAACGCCCAATTTGCATAATTGCAACAAGCACCGTGACTAGCTTAGTGATTGAAGCGAAGTTCTGGTATGATTTTTGAAGTTACTTACTCGCACATGACATTGCGTAATGCATAACGTTTTAAATGTTTTAACAAATATCAATCAGCGAGGTTCCTTTAAACCGGTCAGAAATCTTCCTAGAAAAACCTTGGGGGGGGGGTCAAATTGACCTCACCTAAGTGCGCATTCGTACGTTTACAAATGTGAATCAGCAAGGTAAAAGTGCCACCTTGTCGGAATAATCCCGTTTATGAACACACACACACACATATATATATATATATATATATATATATATATATATATATATATATATATATATATATATATAATGTCAGTGTTGTGTGTGTGTGTGTGTGTGTGGTGTGTGTGTGTGTGTGTGTGTGTGTGTGTGTGTGTGTGTGGTGTGTGTGTGTGTGTGTGTGTGTGTGTGTGTGTGTGTGTGTGTGTGTGTGTGTGTGTGTGTGTGTGTGTGTGTGTGTGTGTGTGTGTGTGTGTGTGTGTGTGTGTGTGTGTGTGGTGTGTGTGTGTGTGTGTGGGTGTGTGTGTGTGTGTGTGTGTGTGTGTGTGTGTGTGTGTGTGTGTGTGTGTGTGTGTGTGTGTGTGTGTGTGTGTGTGTGTGTGTGTGTGTGTGTGTGTGTGTGTGTGTGTGTGTGTGTGTGTGTGTGTGTGTGTGTGTGTGTGTGTGTGTGTGTGTGTGTGTGTTGTGTGTGTGTGTGTGTGTGTGTTAGTTGGTTGTTCATTTTAGCTGCGGGTGTGGGAATAATTGGCGGCATTTGACACTCCTTTTGCCAGCGGTATATCAATTCAACTGTTCTCTACTCTATTTCTTTTTTGTGACCAACCGATCCGCTATTCAGTTGCCCACAGTTATGCGGGGCTGACAATGTATGAAAGTGTTGACAATATGCAGAGATCGAAGATAGCTATAGTAAAACCTTGGGGGGGGGGGAGCAAATTCACCCCATCCTAGCCTGCGTTAATATTCCACCAGGCAGGATTTGTGCCCGATGAAAGTGGATGCACATATTGAGGGCGTGTTCTTAACGCTCCGTCACGAAACCAAACAAGCCATGAAACCGAAAACCACCCGGGTGCAATACGAATGACGTCGTCATAACAGCAAACAGCTCAAATATCAAACTAGCCTCCAAATCAGTCTCTTATTCCAGAGAGCAGCCTCCAAAATCAGTCGTTCTATTACATTTACTATTACTATCACAGAGTCGCACAAACACACCACAGTACCGGCACCAGTACCCGGGACCGCATGCGGCGAACAGCGCTAATAACCACCCGACAAACCTCCGAGGTGGCCCCCGCCTGCATTAACCTCTCCCCCGCACGGCGGCCGCGCCTGCAGACCGGCCGCGCTCGGGTTAGCTCGGCGGACGCCGACGGCCCTCGGCGTGATTTACCGGCCACCGTAATCACACCCGCTTTCTCGTGATCACCCCCAGTTACAACTGCCGTAAGTGTTACGACGTGAATAACGCGGCTGGCGTGAGTGATCGGCTCGAGCACGCCACGACTCATTGCCGACTCGCTGCACGCGTCTGCACGGTGTGGCGGCGGGTGCGACCGATTAGCCCGGCCGACAGGGCCTCGTGGTTTGGCTGTGAGGCGGGCGGTGAAACTCGATGAGGTACGCTGTGTGGTCGGTCGGCCTGTTGAAGCTGCTGACCAGCGTGGCATATGGTCCGCGTTCGGCACCTGCGGCTCTTGGAAAATGGTTCGCCGGGGGGGGGGGGCGGGGGGGGGCAGCCGGCTCTTTGGTTGGCTTTTTCTCTTCAGCGTACTTGGTATGTGGTAAGCAAGTTTACGTCATGGTAAAGGTAAGACATTGCGCGGAGCTTTGCCCCCCCCCCCCCCCCCCAGGGGTATCGCACTGCATTATTTCACTCAAAATTGTCCACATATTTTGACGGCGTAAATCTATTCCGCTGTAATAGAGTGATTTCAAAAACATCGTAAGTCCTATTGCTTGCGTATTCTTTCTTCATCGACGTACGGATCTTGTGGGCAGTGAGTCCTAGCGTGCAATGGCGTAAATGTAAACGCGACCGGCCTCCAAATTGGGGACAGGAAGAAAACAATCGCCATGAAGACTGCTCTCAACGCTTTCTCGGGCTTAGCCCATATTCGAGTCGAGTGGCCATTGGTACAGCGGGAGAGCTAGAGGGATACAGCGGGAGAGTTAGTGGGCGCGACTGAGCGTGTCCGATGGCAGCACTGACCCAACCGGGTCACTTCAGGTCACGGTGTTTGGCAGCCCTGCCACAAGACGGCGGTGTGGACCGCGGCTTTCCCCGCAGGTGGGGCGTCAGCTGGTGAGGCGGTCACTGCGACTCGTCAGCTCGTGAGGCAGTCACTGCGCTTCGTCAGGTGGTGAGGTGGCCACTGCGATTCGCCAGGTCGTGCGGTGCTCACTGCGCTTCATCAGGTCGTGAGATGGCCACTGCGATTCGTCGGGCGTCGAGGCAGTCCCTGCAATTCATCAGGTCGTGAGGCGGTCACTGTGGTTCATCAGGTCGTGAGGCGGTCACTGCGACGCGCCGGCCACTGCTCAGGTGTCCGTTGGTGTCCGTTGTCCGCTCAGGCGTTGACCTATGGATGTTGTATTGTGGTGAGAAGAGACCCTGCAATGTTGTGGTCAGCCCGTCTGCACGCTAAAGCAACATACCGTTGTAAAGCCGCTGGCGAACTGAAAAAGGCAGGGATCTGCTGGCCGTGGCGGACCTGGAGAATGTAATCCATTGGAGGTACACATTTGGAGCCTTGTTGTCGGAATGCGGAACATATTCGTTGGTCCACTACCTGATTTTGTTTTCGTGCTACCAAACTGATGATAAATTGTGGTTTCTTAAAAACATGCATAAGGGAAAACCACCCGCATTGTGCTACAGCAAACTTTTAGAACTGGTATGAAAGGCAGGACTAATTTTTAGGCGAGGGAAGAGTGGAAGCTTCACTGCCGAGGTCACTAACCATCTCCAACTAACAGGAACTCCTTTGTTCAAGAAGTTCCACTCGACTCCCCGCGGTGCTCACCCTTCCTGCCATGGTGAGAGGCAGGTGACGCCAGATAGCGTCAGCAGCTGAGTGCGTCGTAAAGCCCAATGGCACACACAAGAAGCGTTCCACCAAGTTCATCCTGGGAGCTATATACACCGAGAACCACGGAGGATGCCCGTTCCTTTGACCATTATTGGGCGAGATACCAAGACAATTTTCGCTTGCAATGCACAAATATCCATTTCACTGCATCGCGCACTCCTCGCTACCCAAACACCATTCGGTGCCACATAATGCGAAAACAATTACTAAAACCGTTCAAGAGGCATGGTCTGGAACATCGTTCACATGTTGTTGTCCACGCCTGGCAACGCTTCAGCGAAGCCTCGCGGGTCCGGCGGCGGCGGCAGAATGTGGATACGCGCTGCTGTCTTCCCTGGTGCAGTGTGAACCACACCGTGATATGAATAATGCCAGCGGCTTATTCCATTGCAATGATCTAGCTCCCGGCTACTTCAGTATGTTCATTTTAAAATGCGAGCAGAATTCCTTCTTCCGGTGATTGGCTTCTGTTCCCGTTAAAGAAGACAACAAGAAAAGATGAAACAAATCGTGCCGCTCGGCATAAAAATATGCGCTCCTGAGTGTTGTAATAGCGCTTCTGACATTTGGAACCAGTCAGGGATGCTGGCCTTTTCAACGAAATGAGCATGGATTGTATTTCAGTCATCCATTGACCGCCCACTTCTTTGCCCCTTTTTTATTGACCTCACCAAAACACTGTTTACATCATCGGCAAGATTGGTGGCAGACACTGCGTGAATTAATTTGAATATACGACTCTGGCTGTGACGTCAGTCCCGCACGCGGCGATTATGAACACGGCAGGCAGGCCTGTGCATTCAAGACTTTGTACAGTTCGTGGACAGCTTGCGCTGTTCTAATCCCGTCTAAAACATTCACTGACTGGGGTGTCTCATGCCATTTGAGCGGCCTTCCAACCTGCTGGTGTGGCGAGCCCCGAGACGCTGCGGGTGCGGTGGTGACTCCCGAGACGTTGCAGGTGCGATGGTGGCCCACGAGACGCTGCGGGTGTGATGGTGATCCCCGAGACGCTGCGGGTGTGGTGGCGACCCCTATGGCGCGGCTGATGGCGGCTCGTTTCAGGACCAAGTGGAAGCGCCAGACGGCGGTTGGACTGGAGCTGCTGTCGGAGGCCGGGAACGTGGCAGCCCTGCGCCGCCTTTACGCCCCCGGCTGGCCGTGTCCGCCGGCGGCGCCCGTCGGCTACGGCCAGCTGGCCGTGCTGCGGAAGGCGGCGGCGTACCCGCTGCTACTGCCGGGCCTGATGCTGCCCCGGACGAGCTGGGGTCGGCCCTGCTGACCCCACCGGCGCGCCCTCCGCCGCGACCCCCTGACGCGCTGGGCTGGGGCGGTCCTGGACACCGCGTCCCCCCGGCGCCGGGCCAGCTCTGACTCCGCGTGGACCTGCTGATGATGGTGGGCCCCCTGATGCCGGATCTTGTTGACTGCTCGGGAGGCCGATAGGCCTCAGTGCCTGGTTGGCAGCAGGGTGTCCCCTGTGGTGGCGCCCCAGTGGCCTGGTGGGCAGCGGGGTGTCCCCTGTGGTGGCGCCCATTGGCCTGGTGGAGCAGGTGTCCCCTGTGGGGGCCCCTCATGACCTCGTTGGTAGCGGGGGTTACCCTGTGTGGTGGCGCCTTAGTCCTAGTTGGGATGAGGGGTGTCCCCTGTGGTGGCGCCTCAGTGGCCTGGTGGGTAGCAGGTGTCCCCTGTGGTGGCGCCCCAGTGGCCTGGTGTGGTAGCAGGTCCCCCTGTGGTCGCCCAGTGGCCTGGTGGGTAGCAGGGTGTCCCCTGTGGTGGCGCCTCAGTGGCCTGGTGGGTAGCAGGGTGTCCCCTGTGGTGGCGCCCCAGTGGCCTGGTGGGTAGCAGGGCGTCCCTTGTGCTGGCGCCTCAGTAGCCTGGTAGGTAGCGGAACGTCACCCGATGGCGGTATCTCCGGACGTCGCGCTGCTGGTGGTCACGCTGCCCCTGCTTGAGCGCAGTTATTCTGTTTCTGATTTTATATTTTAAGATGGGTCCATCTCCCCGTCGTTGTGTAGAAATGCACATAATTGGAATGCTCTAGAAGAACGTCGCTCCAACAGGCACCACGTGTCTGAGCTGTCTCATCGTGCAAGCCTGTCCTTTATGAGTCAGTCATCGTCAGCAAAATGGAGGACCTGAAGGTGCGAAGAACACAATACTTGTTGAAAAGCGTCTTTCGTGTGTTTTTTTTGTGTTTGTCTCACATGTTGGATCCTCTTGTAAGTGCACTGTATACCTATAGTGGCATTGCTAATGTTGCGTTTTCACGGTCACGAGTTTTAAGATGTTTCAAAAGCGATGTTTGTCTGCTCATAAGTAAGTAAATGTCACTGATAGTGCATCGACATGTTGCGGGTACTTATACTTTGTTCTTGCCGGTACTTATACCTAGTACTTCCAGGTACCTACCGTACGCACCAAATGAGAATAGATCCAATTAACACGGTTACATATCACTGTTCGGTTTTCCGCAGCCGCCACCCAACATTCACTGTAACAACACCAGGAATGGTCATCTCCCCATACAGAGCAGAACTGTGATCGACGAGGCCGGTTTCGATCTGTTCATCGATACAATGTGATCGATTACTACTAGTAATCGACACAATAGGGCACGATAAGATGCAATTTGAGCAGTTTACCAGTGAGAGCTGGGTAACGGAACCGTGCAGGTGGTAAGAATCACCCAGAATGGTCCGAACCGAATCCGGACCGGAACACTCAGTTCGCTCGTTCCCGAGTCTTTGCAGAGACATCTGAATCTTTACCGGTGGCTGTCTGTCATGAACACCGTATAGCGGCGTCCTTAGCCATCGGTGTTTTTGTCGAGCAGCCACTTTAAGAGCGGGTACGAGTCATGCAGAGCGATCCTTCAGAAACGCTCACAAACGGTGTCCGAACCTGAACACTCAGAATCCTTGGGCCGAAATCAGCGTAGAGCCGTCACGAGTCTTTACCACTGGCTTGTCCGCCATGCACACAGTGTGACGGCTTCCTAAGCCACCGGCGATCAGTTCGAGCGTCCAGCCGGGCATGTCCGTCCGCGAGGGTTGCTGTGAAGGAGCATTGGTGGTCGTGAAACAGGTGCGGGCCGGAGGAAACACTGGACCCAACTGAAGGGTATGAAAACCCAGCGACGCGTTGAGTTACACCCAGTAAAGGGCGGGGAAGCGACCGCTGCAACGGTCAATTACTGCCTCGCAAGTTAGCAATTTTCTGTGGTTCCTCGTAAGGTTAGCGATTTTTCATTGTACGTAGGGACGCACGGCTATTTCTGTGGGAACTCTCCTCTGCAACCGCCATCATTAAGTGTTGGGATTATTTATTGAATCGCAAAATACATGCTGTTGATCGTATCCTGCAGGTTCAAATGTCTAGAATTTGACTCAGGCGTGGAAACACATTACTTCCCAGAAGACAGCCAGCGGCGCTGACTCAGCTGGCTACCACTGGAAGCACCGATTCATACAGGAGAGCCATGATGCTCCATTCTTGTTGACAGGATTAGCTAGATTTCCGGCAGTCGTTGGTCACTGTCCTCACACCGTCCCCCCCCCCCCCCCATTTTAACGTTTACAACGCATCGCACCAGACGGCGTCACAGGGGCTGATTGACATCACTTTCACATGAGCCCGAAGCCGAAAACGCTCTGATTGGGTTTTAATTCTGAGAGCGACCGCCAAACCGCGCCGTGATTGGCGCCGCGTCGGCGGGTTGCCGGACCGGTGCCAGATGGCTGCCAGACGTGTAACCCGCCGGAAATTGCTGGTGAATAGCTCGGCCGCCCGGCCCGCGGGCCGTCCGCAGGCGGGATGAGAGGAATGGAGTGAGACCGACGGCGTGGGATGGGTGAGATACCTTGGTTGGAGACTTTTCTGTGCTCCTGTGCTTCTGCGCACAGAAGCACAGAAAAGCTTCTGATTGGCCTCCCGTTCCACTCGTGCTACGAGTTGCCCTATGACGTCAGACAACGCCGCGCGACGTCACGGCAGACTGCCCGCGCATGGCAATTCGACCGCAGTGTTGGAGTGACGTCACTCACGCGTCATCATGTTGGTAGCTCGGCGCATCAATGGAGTTTCCACCGCCGGCACTTCCGTTCACAGTGTGCGACCAATCGGATCTGTATAATGCCGGAAATGGCCGACAGCTTATCCTCACGCGGTATTAAACGACCCCCCCCCCCTCCGACCAGTGAAACTTCTGTACCGGAGCTGGGCTCTTGAGGCCCCCAAGATCTCGAGAATGATGTATGATTAACAGAAAATATGTATGTGGTTGGACAGCTATCGTCGTGCGAGTCTTGCTTTTACATTTCGCTCGGTAATAAGACAAATACAGATCACAACATGGCGAAAAAGTCACTAAGCCAAGGATAATGATTACGCGAGGTGCTAACACAGATGCAGCCATTCCGGATATTTACCATGTCGGCTGTGCTAATCTGCACACCGCGTTTTTCCTAGCTATTTCTAGCCGTTTGCAGCCGTGTAAGCTGGTCCTCAGCAGCGGTATTGAAGTCGGAAGATTGCAAGATCACAGATCACAACGCAGAAACTTCGTCTCGTTTCTGACGTTGACGATTCACTTACAAATTGCCCTGTTTGTCCTCCCGTTACATGAGATATCCCATCCACGATTTGAAATTCCACCATTTGCCAACTAAGTGATTAATTACCTGACCTGTCAACAGCTAATGCCGTTCGCGCCACCCGCTATCATGCAAGGTCGTATGTGTGGAGCGGAAATGCCTGAGCAAAGCTTTTGCATCTGACGTCAAAACTCCAAAACTGCCGTAAAACCAACGAAACTAGCGCCGCATAAATATAGAAATGGAGATGCAGGCAGTGAAATGGAGCAAGTAGGATAAGTCGTTAAGATAACATAACATGCTAAAATACAGATACTGACATTTATAAGCACATATATCAAGCGTTCAGCGCAACTGACGGGTAACACCATACACGTTTGTAATAAAAAAAATGGTTACCGTTCTTCATGCTTTATACAGCAGCCCCACTTCAGCTTTAAACTAAGCGGGTTTCATACGAACCGTGAGTGCGAAATTGGTTATTACGGGCGAAGCCGCAGGGCGGGGGAATCCCAATATCAAGTAACCAGACATTTATTAACATCAGTGACCCGGCCCGGCCTGGCCAAGTCCGGCCACTCACGTTTGTGGCGATACCGGATCTTTTCAACCACTGATCGTAACACTATTCCGTTTTCGATAAAACTTAACGCAGCTCTTGATAAACTGCACTCTTCTATTTTCAAAACACTTGGGTGCGGGTCGTCACATAATTTCTACAACGTTGCTGTATAATATAATATGTAATATATAATATCGCCTTCCCAGGCGAGTTACATAGGAAACGTCGATTTCCCAATCGAGAAAAGGCTACAGAACGCCGGTCGGAGGTAGGGCTGCATATCAGCGACCACGCGTCGTAACAAAATGAGACCAACCAGTGCTGGCGGTGGGAAGACAGGCCATCGTAATGGCGGGGCTGATAGGCGTGCGGCAAAGAACGCTACCGCGTGAAAGACATGGATCCATCTGTTTTTAGACGTTTTTTGAGGGCATATGTCCCACTGTAGCAACCAGAGCAGACGAAGACGAGAAACCGACTGCACAGCGTTGGGAAATACACCGGCTCCGAATCCGCGCCACAGCCAGAGGATGTCCACTTCCGTGCGCCACCGCCGGGTCTCCTCGCGACCGGCGCTCCAAGCAGCCGATGAGGCGGTCGGTGCCTGCACTGCGCCACTAGTGCCGCATTCATAGTGGACGCGTGC